TCACACATTCCAATTCAATTCTATCATTAATATTCATTAAAATCTTAACATCTTTAACATTTCTTTTCAATTAAATATCATACTTCCTGGGAAGACTTATAAACTTTCCATAGTTAATTCTTTTTTTCCATATTTCTCACTTATATTTTTATAAATCATTACTAATAATTAAAAATGTTCCCATTTAATTCTCTCAATCATTTTAATTCATTTATTTATTACCAAACATTCAACTACATTACAGTAAATATTTTATCCATCATTTTAATCATATTTTCTAAAATTATTTCTGTTTATAATATAACAATGCTATCTTATGTACCTTTGCAGAATCCCTTTTGCAATTAAATTTTCACCCATTATCTCTAAACAAGCTTATGGTTACAATCCTTATATCTTTTCCCTGTTTCTCCATTTCTTGTTCCTGTCTTTTACAACTTCTTTTCCTTGCCTTCTTCCCCTTCTTCTTCTCCCTCCCCTTTTTACCCCCTCGTCTCTCTACTTCTAACTCTCTCATCTGTAATCTCCTCTTCTATTGCTTTCTAATATTATACTTATCTTTCAAATTGTTCTTCTTCTTTTTGGTTGTTTTTTCTAGTCTTAAACCTTTCACTCTCTTTCCCCCCTTTTCTTTTTTCCCCCCACTTAAAATTATTTGATCATTAAAGATGACTTCTTTTTTGTCCCAATCTTCTTGTTCTGCAAGCGTTTCTTGTTGCTTCTCATAGTTCCAGATCTCAATTTCTAAGAATTGAAATACGAAGCCAAAAGAACTTCTCCCTTCTTGTGCATCTTCTTTCCATTTTTAAAGTTCCGTTTTCAGTTCTTCTAAGAGTGATACCATTTTAAAGACTTTTAAACAACCACCCGGTTAATTTTAGTCATCCAGATGCAAAAACCAAAAATCACCAAGTAATCCAAATAATCCAAGGCTGTTTCTTTCTGCTTCTTTTTTCCACTTTCTCTTCCTGGGGTTCTATTATTTTTTTACCAAGTTTCAATTAAGATGTATCTTTGAGGAATCTTGTTGAAATTTCACTGTAAGTTCCTTTTAGTTACAGTTCCATTCCTTAGTTCCAAGCAGTCTCCTCCATTTTTCCAGATCCTGCCCTTTTATTCTTTTTCTCTCTCCTTTCCTGCTTTTAAAAACTTTTAAATATCCAGAAATCTTTATTATCCCTTTGACTTTTATTATCAGCTTAGATGCCTATTAATGTCAAAGTGGATTTTTTTCAGTTTCTTGCTTAAGTCTCTTAGCTGTCAGCATAAGGAAGGGAAGGAAAAAAAAATAATCCTTTCCCTTCTCTCTCTTCTTCGCAGATTCAAAATCTTCTTTGGGAACAATGTTATTAAATTTAAATTCCAGGGTATCTTATTTGTTGCTTTTGCTGTTTGACCTGGTCAACCAAAACTTTCTCTTCTTATCTTCCTCCTGCACATTCTTTTCCGGTCGAGTTCTTCTTTGTGGTGGCCATTTCTGACCACCGCTGCAACCGCCTTCGGGAAAGGGAGTAATGGCCAGAAATGGGGAGGAGAGATGCGGCTCTCCTCAACCCTGCAGGCAGTCTCCCTCCTCTTCACCACCTCTACGGGGTGGCTTAGCCCCGAAACCAGCCAGCTCAGGGCGCTCCAGCGGCAAGCACGGATCGAAGCCTTGCAGAGACGAGGTTTCGGTTTGTCGCCGAAGAAGCTCAAACCGGAAGCCTCAGAAATGGATAGGCTTTTGATGAAAATGAAAGCGAGAGAAGAAATAGAGTACCATGAAATCTGGAATCTATGGTACAATTGGCTATAAAATATATAAATGAAAGGAAGGTTATGGTGAGATGAAACAATATTGTACGACTAAGTATAATTATGTATAACTATGTATAATTATATAAATAGCTATGTAAATATATGACTGCACATCATAAATTGAATGTAAAGTAATTGTAATAATATTTAGTGATAATTTACATATTTAAGAACATGTCAATGAGAGTGGACACCACTACAAACACGCTGAAATGAATGGAAGTATGTTTTTAATTGTAAAATTTGACTAATAAAGGGTTTTTTTTAAATTAAAAAAATGCATTTACAGATTCAGAGTTGGAAGGGACCTTGTAGGTCATCTAGCCCAACCTGCCCCCCCCCCCCCGCCCAAGCAGGAGACCCTACACCATTTTTGACAGATGGGAGTCCAGTCTCTTCTTGAAAGCCTCCAGGGATGAAGTCCCCACAATTTCTGAATAACAGAATCATAACAGAGTTGGAAGGGACCTTGTAGGTCATCTAGTCCAACCCCCTGCCCAAGCAGGAGACCCTACACCATTTATGACAGATGGGAGTCCAGTCTCTTCTTGAAAGCCTCCAGGGATGAAGCTCCCACAACTTCTGAAGGCAACTTCTGTTTCATTTTAATATCTTTCTTTTGAAATCACAAGGTGGATGGAATTTGCTCCTGGCTTGCCGCGGTGTGTGGCGGTGGACACCATAGATGAGATGAATACCAACATCAAGTTCTCCTTGACCAAGATGAGCACTTTCATGGCCCGTTCAAAACTGACGTGGGTACCACAGAAATCTCTGTAGCTCTGGGATCAACTGTGAAGTCCTGGGCGCTCCCTGAGCCGGGTGGTTTTCCTGGAAGATGTTTCGTGACCCAACTAGGGAATATCAACCATGCTAGGAAGGGAGGAGGGTTTGTGGAGAGGAGGAGGAGGAGGCCTGTGGGGTCCTTGGTGGTCTCTGGGCTTCTTAGTTTTCCTTGCAGACGTTTTGTGACCCAACTAGGGAACATCCTCAGTGCCAGATGGGAGTGGGGTTTGTGGAGTGGAGAGGAGGAGGGCTGGTGCCGGCTTGCACCGGTTCAAGCAAACCAGTAGTTAAGATTCTGCGCGGTTCGGCGAACTGGCAAATCCCACTACTGGCTGGCTCTATCCCCAGTTGTTCTCCAGCCGTTTTCAGGCCATTATTCAGGCCGTTTTTCGGCCCGAAAATAGCTTGAAAAATGGCCTGAAAACGCCCCCCAAAATGGCCTGGAAATGGCCAAAAAAACAGGCCGAAAAACAGGGGCAGGGCCACCCGTGGTGGGATTAGCCCCAACTGGCTGAATCCTACCTTTGCAGGGCTGGGTGTGATGAGTGATGTCACCCACCCAGCTACGCCTACACAGCCAGAAAACTGGTGGTTAAGTTATTCCAATCCCACCATTGCTCTGGGGGCCCTGATGAACTCTGAGCTTGGAGATTTTCTTGCAGACGTCTCATGACCCAACTAGGGAATGTCATCCGTGCTAGAAGGGAGGGGGGATTGTGGAGAGGAGGGGGAGGAGGACAACAACAACTTTGGGGCCCTTGGTGCTCTCTGAGCTTGGTGTCAGCATTCTGGCAGTTACCCAAATTAAATCATGAGTCTCGAGCCAAACTTCCAAAACTTTAAAAGGATTTATGGGGAGTTAACATGTCCGGCACTGCCCGGGTGCAGCCGACTCTGAGACCCATCATTCACTGTCACCCTTGACCCTGGTTTCCCCCCCTCCCCCACCTCCTGGGTGTATCACAATTCGTATTCTCCAATGGGACACAGCCATAGCCCAGAGTCATCAATCATCTTCTCCAGTTAGAATTGTGCGTGTCAGAAACTTCAGTCACCTCGTCACAATCTTGGAAAAACTATTTAGGGAATGCACTTTCGATTTGCAAGCTGCTGCACTGCTCTTTCAAACCCCTTTCTCCCCCTCCCTTTCTGTTGGCAACTCTAAAAAGACCGTAGAAATAGGACACTTGGTGGTTTTCTGGCAGACGTCTCATGACCCTACTAGGGAACGTCGTCAGTGCTAGAAGGGAGCGTGAGGTTTGCTGTTTGTTTGTATACCAATGGCTCATGTAGGCCTAATGAAAGAATCACCAAGAACTCTCTCACCAAAATTGACAGGGGAAGCTTTTGCATTTATCCTTACTTCCTCTGTGAAGAGAAAACGGTTAACCCTGGTTTGGCCACTGAAGCGTGATCCAGGTTTAGACTGTCCCCCTTTTCTCTTTTGCTTCTCAGACAATTGGAGTTCAGGTTAAAAGGCCTAATGAACTACCACAATTCCTGGAAAAAACTCGAGGACATTCGCAAGGTTTTCTGGTTCAACAAGACCTTGGTTTCAGGTTGGTATCGGAAGGGCAAAGAAGGAAAAATCTGGGAATATCTCAAATATATAAAATGCATGGAAGAAATATGAGAGGATAATGAAGATTATTTTGGAGTACAGAACACAGCACTCCATTGAGTGCTCAATTGAGGGGCTTTAAATGGGTGGAATCAATTCCCAGAATTTCTCAGCCAACATGCTTTAAGGCGGGTAGACGTCAACTCCCAGAATTCCCCACCCAGTTTGATTTGTGATGGGTGAACTTCAACTCCCAGAGTTCCCCATCCAGTTTGATTTAAGATAGGTAGACTTCAATTCCCAGAATTTGTCAGCTACCCTGCTTTAAAATAGATAGACTTCAACTCCCAGAATTCCCAGCCGAC